GATGCTTTTCTCCCCCCATTCACATAGAATATATATATATATATTTGGATTAAGAGAGTCTCACTCTGTCACCCAGGCTGCAGTGCAGTGGCACACTCATGGCCACCCCAGTATCGATCCACTGGGCTCCAACGGTCCTTCCGCTTCAGCCTTCCAAGTAGCCGGAACTACAGGCATGTGCTACCAAACCTGGCAATTTTTTATTTATTGTAGAGACGAGGTCTCACCAAGCTGCCCGGGCTTGTCTTGAACCCGTGGACTCAGGGAATCCCCTCACCTCGGCCTCCCAATGTGCTGGGATTACTGGCTGAGTCACTGAGCCCAGTCCCACATAGAGTTTTATTCCATGTACACATATTAGTATTCAGACAATGACTCAAGGGGGTGTTTCTGCACATCTCTGAAATTCTCTATTTAACTACCTGGTGTTAGAATACATATTATATTTGCCCTCATAAATTTTAGTTTCAGCTTGTCCAAACTCCACTCTGTCTATCAACTCAGTTGTAGTGCTGGGCTTTATCTGGATTTTCTCTCTGTGTTGCAGCCAAGAAACTGCCTCCACGCCCTGCTTCGTTTTCTCCCCTTCTATCAGAAGTCATAGTCCTGTGCTTCCTGTCACCTAATTTCTGAAAATCATTGCTTCTTGGTTTTTGTTTTTGTTTTATTTAGTTGTTTAGCTTAACGGCTTAAGAAAGAAGAGGTAAATTGTCCCAAGAGAAGAATATTATTTGGTGCCTTATATAACACAGAGGTCCAGTAGGATTAGGTCTGAACTGTGTTCACTAAATTTAAGAGTAGTAAATGAGAGCATTTTTTTTTTAAATGTTAGTGGGAGTCATTCCAATTGACTCCATTGAGTTAAGGATTATTGAGACATGATGACCAAGTGTGGTCCTGTTTGATCTGTGGTAGTACCCTGTAGAGATGCAGGCTATTTTTCCCTTATTACACATGAAATAGTAAACTTTAACCATCTTTACATGTATGACAATACATCTAAATTTTGATCTAGCTCAATTTTGTTCTAGAGAAGAACAAAAGTACTGGTGATTGTTCAAGGAAATTCAGATATCTGACTTCAATTGGACATGTGATTAGAGAAAATAAAAACTAGACACGACACTGATTTTTATATTGCCAATGGCATTAAGTTCGAAGTTCTATAGTTACATTTTTAAAACAAAAGTTTCTCAAGCATCCCAAAGTTTGTAATGGGTGAGAACAATGCAATACGTTTCTATGACCCACTTTTTAATTTTCAGCTTCAAGTCCAAGTATCAACTCATGAGTAAGTCCTAAGGAAACTTATGAATGTTCAATTCTGTCCACAAAATCTTATGATGTGGCCAAACTGTAATGACACGCCTGAGATTGAACCTGAGACCTAATATCCAGGTTGTAAATCAGGATAAAATATAGTCCAAGCTTCTAAAAAAATTATGGTTTTCATACTATTATTTTTGCTGATCGTGTGATATACATTACATTGATTAAAACTGATTGAATTTTTAAAATTTATTTAAAATCACTGTTAAATAAATTTATGAATAGCTAGGCCCTTCACTATTATAAACTACAAAAAATAGAAATCATAGCACCTTCCCAAGTAGTTTTTTTTATGAGCATGTATCCTACTTATTTTAAAAACTTAGATGACTATCATTTAAATGAACAGTGCTTTGAGATTTATATCTTCCCTTGCTTTGTGTCATGGATAATTTTTCTGTGCAGAGTTGTGAGCAGTTACTGAAGTAGAGTACAAAGCCTGTCATCTCTCACTCGCAGGGGAATAGTGAGTAAATCCTCTATTGCTAAACAAACATTACATCTAATTATGACTTAAGTTTGATGTTGGCCATAGTGCCATCTAAACATATGGTTAATGATCTCGTTTCTTCTCCACTATAACTTTCTAAATAGACTTCCTGATTTGGAAAGGTCCCAATGTCTATTTGCACTGCCAACTATTTCTTAGAAATCAGTACTTTGGTTTCACACAGTTATTTGAATAACAGGGATTTCATATTTTAATTATTTAAGGACAAGGATGTCTCTCAGGAATTTTTAAATTTATTTTATCATCATAGTTTCCATAACATTTCATAATTTTCTCTGAGTATGGCCTATTTTCACATGAGTCAATATATACGCAAAGTCATTAGCAAAGAAAAATACATGAATAAATCATCCTGATTTTGAAATTTTGTTCAACTTTTAACGTTCTATTAGGATAAGTTACTTGGGGGGTTATGGCAGTGGATTATTCCATGCTTTGGAAGCTATAGACATGTTTGTAATATAAGAAATAATCACATTTTCGTTTTTTAATGTTTAAGGTAACTTCTAGTAGCAGTCCCTACTGCAGCCTTTTACTGATAGCAATGAAAAGAGAAAAATACTTAACTGCAAAGACACACAATTAGAGTCTGATGGTTATTTTAATATCAGAATCTGAGGAAATTTTTCATCAGTTGGGCAGCAAAGAAGCAATAGAGGAGAAACTGGTGATTGTCCACATCTTCGAAAGAGTAATCTCATAAGTAAACTGCCAGCACAAACAGAAGCAGGAATAACCCTGGTAGGGGTGGACCTAAGAATTAAGCTGAGCAGGGGAAGTGTGAGATACACACAGTGAGATCCAGCCAGACTGGGCTCAAGGAATTTGGCAAGGTGCTCAGCTTATGAGTCTGCCACAGAGCTGAAGGTCTGATGAGGCGGAGTGAATAGCACCACAAAGAATTCCATCACAGATAAAGCACAAACGCTATGCAGCAGCAAACTCAGACACAGACAGAGGTGACACCCATCTGGATACCAAGTCAGGCTTCACTTGGGTTATTTAAATGGGTTGTTTATGTATGTGTGTATTTATTTATTTATTTTATTGTTTTGAATTGGAGTCTCACTCTGTCGCCCAGGCTGGAGTGCAGTGACATGCTTGCAGCACCACAGGCTCCATCTGCTGGGCTCAGGCGATCCTTCTGCTTCAGTCTTCCAAGGAACTGGAACGACAAGCACATGCCGCCACACCCGGATAATATTTTGATTTATTGTAGAGATGAGATTTCACCAAGTCGCCCAGGCTGGTCTCGAGCCCCTGAGCTCAGACAGTCCTCTCGCCTCAGCCTCCCAAAGTGTCGGGATTACAAGCTTGAGCCACCACACCCAACCATCACATAGGTTATTTAAATAGGGAAAGTAGAATATAAAGAATTATTAGCTGGTAAAATGTGGTTAGTTACTAAGAAAGGAGAAAAGAGAGCTTCAAGGGATCCTGAAATAGCAGGTACAAAAGTGCAGCTACTCCCTCTAGGCTGAGGAGGGGAGAGAGGAAGGAGATATGGGCTAAGAGAGGGCACACTCCCTTTCCTCACCTGCTGCAAGGCTGAGGTTCGTTGGTCTTTGAAGATGACGTGGCTACCACAGGAACACACAGTCTGCTGGCGGTAACATAAAAATAAACATGCAAGTGCCGGTCTATAGACACTGCCCACCATTGTTGGGGGATATGGGAGTGCTAGAACTATTTAGAAACAGTCTTCAAGGGCAGAGTGTGCGTGCAGACCAAACTAGGCAGAAAGGTGCTGATGAGGAGAGAGTGTGCCCTCCTAGCTGAGGGGACAGTTGCGATTCTTTCTGGGCCGCTGGACTCCTGGGCTAATGAATAATTTTTTAAGATGTTGATGATATTAATGAAGAATAAGGGCCCAACACAAAGTGTCATGGGCCCACCACTATGGCCTTGTTGGGTCCTCCCTGGACCCTGTATTGACTAAGCCTGACATCCTCCCTAGCCATGGAGAAGTGTCTACTGGGTCTAACTACTGTGTCACGAAGCTGGGTGCATTTGGAGCTCAGAGACAGTAGACTGATAATTAGCACAGCCGGCCCCCGAAAAGGATTTATTCCAAGATTCTAAATGACGTTTTAGAAAGCTACTTGGCATTTTTGTTAAATCGCAAGACTATTTGAGCTCTGTAAATCGAGCGCAGACCCCTTAAAAGGAGACTATAAGACAAAAAGGCATGTGGATAAACAGAAATTGAAGATGAGTGAGATGAGATAGAAAAATTATTCAAAACAAACATTGCAATTATAATAAGAATTAGTGGTACGTACATACAGTACAATTTTCACTGTAAAAGAGAAACTGTAAAATGGAGAACAGATTCGAGAAGTAAATATAGCCAGGAAAGTAAAGCAAACGGCAAAAATGATTGCAGAAGACAACACGGATGTCATATATTTGGCAGACCAGCAGGGTAATGTACCTTAAGAATCACAGGTGATCCTGAAGAAGAAAATTGTTAAATTAGAACAGATGTAAAAATCAAAGACAAAATAAAGAAGAAGCAGCACTGAATCAAAAAGCAATTATGTCTCCAGACTGAAAGAATTCATCATGTTTCAGAAAATTAATGAACAAAGCAACTCAAGCTTTTAAAAATTCTAGCAAAAATTTGAATGCCCCAAATGAGAAAATTATGTATACATCTAGAGTGAAGAAAGCATGTTCTCATAGCATCTTGTACTTCTTCCATGATGCAGTGCTCAATTCATCATGTTATTGTAACATATTTACTTGTTTCCTGCCACTAGATCGTAAGGTATGTCTCCCTAGAACTTTTTAATGCTGCAACGATAAGATGATAAGGTAAAATGACCTCATCTAAACTTTAATATTTGAGACGAAAAACATTTGAAGAAAATTCATACCAAACCCCTCCCTACTACAAAAAGACAAAGAAAATATGTTTTTCTTCTTATTCCCATAGCATTTTGGTTGATGTACAATCATATATTTTCATGCAAATAGGAAGCAATTTTAATGTTTATGTTCATTGGTGTTTCCCAAGGGACTGAACTAGAATAGCACATACATATAATAGATACATGATTAATATGTGTTTAAGGGAAGCCTAGGAACATTGAAATTAAAATTTTAGATATTTCCCATAAAGTTGTGTTAATGGTTGCTGTTTTTATCTCCTTCATAGGCTTGTAACTGCAGCACAGTGGGATCCTTGGATTTCCAATGTGATATAAATACAGGCCGATGCAACTGTCATCCCAAATTCTCTGGTGCAAAATGTGCAGAGTGCAGCAGAGGTCACTGGAACTTTCCTCACTGCAATCTCTGTGACTGCTTCCTGCCAGGGACAGATGCGGCAACATGCGATTCAGAGACTAAAAAATGCTCCTGTAGTGATCAGACTGGGCAGTGCACCTGTAAGGTATGTGCTGCTGAAATGCAGCAAGAAAAACTTCCCTCAGTTCTGTCTTCATTGCTCGGTTTTCACTTCATTCAGTGTTCGTTATCCATGCTTCATTAAGCTAAGCAGAGATGGACAAAATCTCATCGCCAAACACAGTTTCTATGAATATGTGTTCATTGGCATACACTGCTTTTCAAGAACTTCTTTTCGACCCAAACCCCACATTTTCTCTAGTTGGAGAGAAGATGTACTGTCAGTGGTAAAGTGAAATGATTTTTCTTTATATATTAGCTTTGCTTCAACAAGGATCATCTGGGAGGGGTAGTAGTGAAGACAGCTCTTTTAAGCATCACCAGAGAAAATCACAGCTAAATAATAAGGCTTATAAAAACCCATTTCTCCTCAAGTTAATCTGCAATCAGTGTACACTAGAAAACATATTTACTGCTGTGGAAGTTTAATAAAATTCACCACTTATAAACACTGTCATTACAGTGACTATGTGCAAATTTCAGCCCTCATTAATATGGTTAAATGATGTAGAAAAAAAGCCAATTAAAAGGGATTTTTTTCCCCTTAGATATTTCTGAAAAATCAATTCCAGGATAAATGCAGTTAAAACTGTGTCAGAGGTATTGTTTCAGAATAAAGGCTATGCAAAGAAGGAGATAGAAAACAGGAAGATAAAATTTGGGGAGTGGTTGTTAAAATCATCCTGAGAATTCAGGAAAATGGCAGTTTCTACCATCAAGGACCTCAGCCAAAACAGAATACAATACAGCTTTATTTCATCTTATAACTATGACTTTATATTATGTTTATCACATGTTATATGCATGTATATACATTATGTTATAATAATTACATATGTAGATTTTAGCTTTCTGCCTAATTCTTACAACTTCAACTAGCATCACTATTTAGGAATCAAAGTTTTTATTTTGCTTTTGAAATTCTCATATTGCTCACAGCAGAATTGTAGCAAATAGCCTGCTTGGATCTAAAAAACAATATACAAAGCCCTTAGTAATAGACATATTTAGAAGTAAAGCCATTTTGAGAGACCCATAAACCCTTAACAAGGAGATTAACTACATATGCCATTTGAGGTGGGAATCCAATACTCAGTCTTCTTTTCTTTTGTTTTGTTTTGTGGGGTTTTTTTTAAGAGTATACTCCTGTTACTCATTCTCAAGGTGATTTCCCTGATAACTTTGCTGATACGGTCTCTGATGGGCTCTCATCTTTCTTCAGGTGCACGTGGAAGGCGTCCACTGTGACAGATGCCAGCCTGGCAAATTCGGACTTGATGCCAAGAATCCACTTGGCTGCAGCAGCTGCTACTGCTTCGGCACCACAACTCAGTGCTCTGAAGCAAAAGGACTGATCCGGACGTGGGTGAGTAAGGAACTGCTGAGCCATGTAATGGCATAATGTCAGTTCCTGCTGGCGTCTTTTAGTCAAGCACTGAGGGGTATTAGGAAATGGCAAAACATTTAAGTAACCTTTTCCCCTGTGCACATTTAGATATTGTCAAGGAGCCACGTGCCGTTGGACGGTTGGAGTAAATGCCCTTCTTATTCTTTCTTTAAAATAGTTCCTGGGCAACCCCTTTGGGTCCCCTCCTACTGTGGGAGCTTCTCTGTCCTCTCAATAAATCCTGCTTTCTCACTTAAAAAAAAAATTCCTTTAGTGTTGATTAGCAAATAGATGTCAAGTGGAAAGTGGAAACTGTCAGGGAAGTATTACCCTTTGGTAGGGAGAATGAGGATACTAGATCAAGGATGTTGATAGATGTTCATGCAGCAAGGAAAACCAGAACTTGGTGCACGTTTGTATCAACCAGCATTGGGAAATCATCCATTTTTAGGTGGAAGCATGTTCGTTTTTATTTTAATTTCTCTTTAACACTTCTACCTTTACATTCTACTTTTATTCGTGGAAGAGATTTCAGTGTTCACAGATACTGTGGTTTTTACTACGCAGATGAGTCATAAATATTTATCTCCTGCCATGCTTGCCCGCTATGTGCGAGTTCTCTTTCTTGTGAGAACACCTGGCCAAAATGGGGGTGGAGACTGCAGATAGACAGGCAGCCCATAAATTAGTTTTAAAGAGATATTCAAAAACTTAGACGCAGCCTCCTGCTGTGTTTTGACCCCATGCAGGTGACTCTGACGGCTGAGCAGACCATTCTACCCCTGGTGGATGAGGCACTGCAACACACAACTACCAAAGGCATTGCCTTTCAGCATCCGGAGATTGTTGCACACATGGACCTAGTGAGACAAGATCTCCATTTGGAACCTTTTTATTGGAAACTTCCTGAACAATTTGAAGGGAAGAAGGTAAGCACGATAGCAGATGAGAACAAAATAAAAATATATTTTAAAATCATGCCATTTGGAGACTTATCTAATTCAATCACTCTCCATTTTATTTTGTCAGCTGATGGCCTATGGGGGCAAACTCAAGTACACAATCTATTTTGAGGCTCGGGAAGAGACAGGTTTCTCTACATACAATCCTCAAGTCATCATTCGAGGTGGGACCCCTACTCATGCTAGAATCATCGTCAGGCATATGGCTGCTCCTCTCATTGGTCAATTGACAAGGCATGAAATTGAAATGACAGAGGTAATGTTATTAGTTGTTTCGTACAGAGATGCCAATGGTTTTGTGTTCAGTTTAGTCAGAGTGTTTATTTTTTTTTTCCTTTTCTTATTAACAGAAAAAATGGAAATACTATGGTGATGATCCTCGAATCAGTAGAACTGTGACCCGTGAAGACTTCTTGGATATACTGCATGATATTCATTATATTCTTATCAAGGCCACTTATGGAAACATCATGAGACAAAGCAGGTAAACTATAATAGAAAACATCCAAGTTAAGTTCTTATTCTAGAGTCTCTAGGGAAGGTCAGTAAAATATTAGATGAGAAAGATTTGGAAGGGGTTAGTTTTGGGGTGTGACATAGAAGACAAGCCAAGGGCGGCTTCCATGTGATATGATAGAAGTCACTGTTATTTACCAAAAAAAGGAAAACAGCATGAGAAGTCAGTTTAAGGGGGGAAAATATATAGATTTTACCTTAGACATGGTGAATTTAAGGTACAAATCAGAAATTTAGGAGACTATGTACTGTAGGTCAGATATCATTAACTGTTGAGCTATCCACGAGTTATGAGAGTGCTGAGAAAGTTACCTTCCTCACCCATCAGGGGAATCAGGTAGGGACCAAGTTGGTTCAGTCTCACCCGAACAAAAGCATTCTCATCTGTTCACCACAATGAGTCCTACAATATTGTCATTTTCCCTGTGCGTTGTGATATAAAATAATTGGGAATTGCATTGGAGGAGAAAAAAGAAAAAACACAGAAAAACAGCAAGAATGAATGCAGAACCATGAAATCCAAATCGTGGAAATGCTTCAAGAGAGTATTCAATGTTTTCATATGATCTAAATTGGCCAATTAGAATGACTCTTATTGGGACTGACACTTAGGACCACACTGGTGACATTCACGATATCAGCTGCAGTGAATTCCTTGGCAGAAATAGTCTTGAACTCTTAAAAGATTAATGAAGCGCATGAACCTATTGTTTTCCATGAACACAGTAGTTAAAAGGAAAGTGTCAGTGTCAAAAGTGACATAGTGTGAAAAGTCAAGGGATGATTGCTTAATTTGAGAGAGAAGTATGCATGTTCATAGACTATGGGAAAGGATGAATAGCAAAGACATATCAAAAATATAAAATAAAGAGAGAATAATGGGGGAACCAGGAGACTCCAACATCATAGTCATGATCCTTGAGTGGAAGGGAAACCTTATCCGATAAAAAGCAATGAGAAATCACAGATGTGGATACATTTCATACCATGGAGGCAGAAAGCTGAGCTGGGTTCAGACACATAATCTCAATTTCTGTTTCATGTCAGTTTCTGTTCTGTTACAGAATCAATGTATATTTGTAAATAGTCTTATTATTAGACCTGCCTAGGAAAACAAAACAAATCAAATTATGAATCATCTCATTGGCAAACTAATAAATATAAATTCAATGTTTATACTGTATTTAACCGATAATATTCCAGAAAGTCTTTTTATTTCATGTAGAAGATCCATATTGCTTTTCTGATTGATGTCGGGACTTTTAGTAAAAGTAAATCAAGAACCAAAATTCACTTTCAAATCTGTATTCCTTTGGTTTTCTTTTGATATTTCTCACTGTAACAGGAGATTATTTTTATATGAAATGATAAAAAGCATGTACTTAAAAATGCTGTCAGCTATGCTGTTAATTATTTTAGCATATCAAATGGAAGTCAGGTGGCAGAAACCATAGCAGGTTTGCATGTCATAGAAGACAGCGGGTAATTTTGTGAGTATGCAGATAGATTATTTTACAAATTGTTCTGTGCTACAGTAAAAGAGTTTGGTAGAACACAGGCCATCTTGTTAGTGGAACTGATGGAAACGCTGCTGTCATGCATCTTTCATTATATTTTATTGTCTCTCTCATACCAATTTCACCTTCCTACACTGTGCCACAAGCCTTTTTCCCCTTACATCGTTTTCTCTTATCGCACTTCCTCACATACCTCACTAAATGAAATCCTTTGGTTTAAGTGGCAATCTTTTCAAACTTTAGAATAAATAAATATTTCACTCTTTCTAAGCTGAATAAGAACTAGAGTCATAGTCTCCAATCATAAGTATTATGATGCATGTAACCAGCACTTGATTATATGACAGTGGAATTGTGACAAAGGTTAAAAAAAAGGTTTGAATATTCCCCCAGAAGTAATTAAGACATAGCCCTGCATCTTTATTCAGTTACAAATTTTAGTCCCAGAAGCAGAGAGTGTAAAAGTTAATATGTGATTTGAGATTTGGCTTGGTACATTTTGTAGCGCTGGATTTGTTGTTTGTTTTTGCTTTTATTTCTTTTTATGTTTACCTTAAGGAAATAACAACTTTTGCATTTCAGTCTGTAACTAAACAGAGGCCAGAGTTTGGCCAAATCCCTGTGGCAGTCAAAATCATTGCTCTCTCATTCCCTGAGGGGGAAAAAATGGTGTACTGCAGAAATATCTGTTGTTGCCACCGTTCAAGCTCCACTGGATTTGTAAACGCTTGCTGGCCTGTTATGTGCATGCGCGTGCCAGAGAAAAGAAGGTGACGCCAGTAACTCCTCAGGCTATAAAATGCCATGGAGATGCCAGTGGCCAGGACTTGTCGACTAAGTGACCCACTTCCTCCCACAGAGAGTCCCAGAGAACATAAGGGCAAAGTCTTTCTTCCAGGAGGGGAGTGTTTTGTTTATAGTTCACCACCACTGAGTGTACTCTAAAGAGAAGAGAATGAAACCTAAATTTTAGCTGAACATGTATTTCATGAAGACTGGCTGATCTTCAGAGCTCTGATTACAATGCTTGCGAAGCCAGAACATGCATTCATAATTCCATTTCAATAAAACCTACCTATGCTTGGTATAAAGTTTATGACTCAAACTCCTTAAGCCATTGAAGGTAGCTTTTATTGAAACAAAACTATTTATTGTCTCAGTTTAAAGTTTATTTGCAGAACATCTTTGTGTTACCAGTTAGTCAGTCATGAAATAGTCTGAGTTTATGGACCGCATATCTTTTGGCAATGTAAACTTTCAAATTAATGAAAAGGATATCAATATTTTCACTGTGCATGCTGTTTTTTTTTTAATTATAAGGATTTTCCACCAATAGAAAGTGTGAATTAAGTTACTCAAAAGATTTATTTAGTAAAGTTAGCAAAATATTAATTTGAAATGTTCTTTATTCTCAGAAAGAAATCCATATTATTAGATAATGCTTGATCATTGTTTTCTAGTTGATTTTCTAAAGTTCTTGAAAGGACATTCACAGGCTTCAGAGGAAGACATTGAAGATGTTAGCAAATTAAAAGCAATTTCTCCAGTGACTATGGGAGATATTAAAATGGGGAGTGACCTTGAGTTTCTGTTTGCAGGAATATAAATGTCTAATTAATTGGCCATGTCTACCTGAAGCCACTCACAATTTTAAAAGTGAGGAAAAAGTATCTATAATAACTTCTCAACAGGGTATCAGACATCCAATTTACTAAACTCCTTATGATTTATGTGAATATTTTGCTAATGTGCAATCTCAACCTTTGAAGAAGCAAACATGCAGTAATAAGATGTAGCACAGGAACCCATGGAATTAAGGCAGTTTCAAAACAATATGTTAGTTCACTTGATTTAGTCATGCCACAACATAGTCATATATCAAAATATCACATTGTTGTTTCAATAACTACAGTTGACCCTTGAACAACACATGGGTTAGGGCCACTGACCACCTCCCATGGAGTAGAAAATTCACATATAACTTTTGACTCCCAAAAGACGTAACTACTAATAGCATACTGTTGACCAAGAAGCCCTTAATGATAACAGAAACAGTCAATGAACACATTTTGGATGTTATATGCACTGTATACTGGATTCTTACAATAAAGTAAACTGGAGAAAAGAAACTGTTATTAAGAAAATCATAAGGAAGAGAAAATACATTCACTATTTATTAGGAGGAAGTAGATTGCCATAAAGGTTTTCATCCTGGTTGTCTTCATGTTGAGTAAGCTGAGAAGGAGGAAGAAGAGGGTCTGGTCTTGACGTCTCTGGGTGACAAGAAGGTTCACCTATATCTGGACCCACACAGTTCCATTCCATGTCGTTCAAGGGGTCAATTGTTATTTGTCCGTTAAAAACAAGAAAGAATAAAACACACCTGAGGTTGACAAAAGCCTGAGAAGATTCTTCTTGTAGCATTGAGTATTTACTAGGTGTTCTTGACTGACAGGTATGGTCACCTAAGCATATTTTCCTGTTTTCAGGATTTCTGAAATCTCAATGGAGGTAGCTGAGCCAGGACATGTAACAGCCGCAACTCCTCCAGCTCACTTGATTGAAAAATGTGATTGTCCCCCGGGCTATTCTGGCTTGTCCTGTGAGGTAAGCTAGCTTCCACTAATGGCAACTCACTTTAGGGGCCAAATGGAATTACTCCCAGAACTCCCTCTGCTGCAATCAGTTTTCTTTTCATACATACTTTTAACCTTTTTTATTGAATCTTCCACTCACAGTGAGACACAGTAGCAAGAGGATAATATTATCGTTACCTGGGAGTACAAATCACACCTGAAGGGAAATAGTTGATAAAAAGTTTAAAGATTTGTGAAAATATGTAGCAGTCAGGGAGTAAGAATGTTTTTATAAGGCCTGTTTTTTGTTTTTTTAATAACAGATCTATTTTCTTGGACCACTTCTGAACAGTTAGAGACATTTAAACTGCAATGATTATAAGACAGGATTATATTGGATTTTGGATGTTTTTATATAGAACATGAGAAGACTTCTGCTAAATGGCAGGCTGTTCTCTTCATCATAGCCTTCTTAGAGGGACATAAATTGGTTCCAGCAGTGCCGCTACCATTCAGTCGTTACACATACAGTTGTTTTTGTTTTTTCTTTTTTTCACTTTCTGGGATATTCCTTTGAATGCTTTCAGAATTGGCATCTCTTTTAGATCTTCATCTTCTGGAATTGGTTTGATTCCTACAAATATTAGATGTTAGTAGGAACAGTATGATCTCAGACAAGTGGGGTGAATGAGAAGCTGGTGGAGGTTTGAATCTCTTACCTAGGTTACTAAATCTCTTTAAACTTTAGCAGGTAAATACCTAAGTGACTGTCACCATAGCTACCTTTCTACAGATGCCACATTCAAGCCTGGCATAGGTGGGGCCTCCAGGATCTGTCCATCCCTGCAGTCTGGGTTTTTTCTCAAGAGTCAGACTGGTTGGTGCCCACCAGTTAGTATTCCAGTTAGTTATTATTACCATCTCCCTACCACTTACAGCCTAAAAGTCTAATGAAGACTAAGGAGCTTTGACTATTAAGCACTTGTCACAGTACCTAATGTGCAACCACTGTTAGCTCCCAAGGTTCATATTATTATTAATGTAATAACTAGTTATTTAGCCATGTATTGATTTACTTACAAATAACTTATACATCTTATTTTGTAGATAGGAGTTGGGAAGTTTTATTAGAGTGGCACATGACACAGATGATGACACTTGATCAAAACTGTCATACAACTTAAAAATGCATATAAATTTCCTGAGAGGGGGCATGGCATAATGAAAAGAAAAAGGAATTTGGTTTCAGTGATTCCTACTCAACTCCGCCACAGGGGCATGGTACTTGCTCTCTTTGTGGCTATGCCTTGAATCTTTCACCTATAGACTTATCATAAGGATTAATTTACATGAATATGTATGAAAGCCCCATTATAAGCTGACATGCCATTCATCTGAGTTACCCTCATGTTGATTCCACATTATTCAAAGAACAACTTTATAGGATAACTGTAAGTACCTTGTGACATATCCTTGGATTAATTTTATAGCCCTTTTTGTGAGTTTGGAAGGGCAATATTTATTTGAATGCATCTACTCTGAGCTAATAAATAATCAAATAATTCATTTTGTTATTAAATCATAGCTCTTCCATACATCTATTTAAACATTGGAACACATACCAGTAAGCACATATGCACAACCCATTCCAATATATCGGTTCACACACTATGTAAGGGTGAAAAAATGAGACGGTGTGACACATATAAAATAAGTGACCTTTCTAGGGAATATAGAAGATTTAAAAATAGAGGACAGAAATAACGAGATTTTTTTCAGGCAAGAGGTGAAATTTTTTTTATCTCAAGGATTATTGGACTGTACTTCTAACTGCATGACCTTGGTCAATTCTCTTAAGTGCTGTAAGGAATTATATAGTTATTCAATCTATAAAATTGCTATAGTTATTACATAGTTATTCAATCTATAAAATGACAGGTTGAGTTTGAAGTTCTAATTCTGCAATATTATTTTGCTGTAGAAGATATTCACTAAGTAGTTAAGGCTGACCTTTAGATAGCTTGAAAAGAAAGTTATTACGGCTATATTTTTTCTGCATTTATTTAAAATAATACTGTTCACTTATGAACAAAAATGTTAGTAGAATAGCAAATTACTCTAATGCAGTCCAATGATTTTTAAATGTTAAAACTCTTATTATTATTGACAGACTTTTCAAATAATACATTCTAGAACATACTTTCTCATTAACTTTTGAAATTTTCCACCATTATATGAAAATATAAATTAGCACAAATAAAGCAAATGACTAAAAAAACTAAGAATATGTTCAAACTATAATCTTCATTGGTGGTTTCATCTATGTCCCATGAATTTCACTTAAGCTTCTGTTTACAGACAGTAAACCGAATATATAATTACATAATATCTTAGTGGAGAGATTAGGAAGATAAAGGCCTATCTCTCATAATAAGTTACCTGAGGTGTTCTCCACAACCCATTGCCTCTAATCCATTATACATCTTATTTATAATTCATCTTGATTCCAAAGTGCAATTACCCAGGCATAAAATCTAATCATCAAAGCAAGAGCTAAGGACAGTTTTGAAATAATACATCCCATTCCAGTAACATATGCTTTGGGTCATGAATACACAAAGCAATTCCTCTACAATATTTTCACCAAATGTATGGTATTCTAGAGACATCTGCATCTACAGGCTATTTCCTTCATGTTTTTATTCACAATGTCGTTGCAAGTAAACAAAATTAAACATTAGTTACCATTAAATTATAGCTAGTTGTAAAGACTTTGCCTGTTACCCGTGGTGTTATGATACTGCAGCCCTGTTCAGTAAAAATGTTAGTTCTAGAAATGCCTAATTATCGCAATTTATGATTTGAAGTGGTGGCCAGATTACTTTTAGAAGTCAAATAACAGACACTATTTCCTCAAGAGACTTGATGTTGGAGCTATTTAGTTTATTATACTATACTTAACCTACTCTTTGAGTTAGTTTAGGCTTAGGTAATTATCTAAATGGACCTAAGCTGATTTTAGGTTGTAGGTAGATACAATTCTTACTTGTAATTTTCTTTCTTAAAAATAAAAATATATTCAGCATTGAATATGTGGTTCTCTACAATAATACTATAAAAGCCAGACATTCTTTAGTGATCTCTATATCATGTTTTGACAGTTCCAGTCTCTTTTCTCTCCTCCCATATTTTTCTAGAGTTTCTGGCTTACAGTTGAATGGCTGGTGTCTGTCAGGCCACCACGGAGAACCACTGTCCCTTTTTTTTTTTTTATTAATACGGATTTTCTAAAATTCCTAGACAATTTATCCCTACTAACAACTCATGAAACCCAAAGGTCAAAATGTAGAATGAGACTTGTTTATTTATACTTGCACACCTCTGTCCTGTATCACTTCTGCTGCACATGGGAGGCCCACAACTCTGTGTTCATGTATATACGATCGTGGAGGAGCATGCTTGGATAAGTGGCATGTGTTGTAATTTTGTTTCCCCATACAACTTAAAACAATCATGGTTGCCTTTATCTTTAGTTTATCCTAAGCAGTAACATCCAAAAAATTAGTTTGGATAAAGACACCTATGTTGATTTATTGCCTAACTAGCATTACGTATACATTATCTAATTTAATCCTCACAACAACTCTTTACAAAAAGAAAATGTAGCACTGATTCTTTACTGTCTCCTGTACAATCCCAAGCACACCTCTTAATACATTTACATGAACATCATTGATGATCCCCAATTGGTGGACGAGGAAATTTAAGGCCCTTGGTACATACCTCAGCAGCAATTTGAACCCCAATACGTCTTTCTAAAACTTATAGGCACTTACATTCAACTGTTATGTTTTACAGTCATGTGCTGCTTAATGGTGGGAATACCGTCTAAGAAATGCATCATTAGGCAATGTTATTGTTGTGTGCATACCGCCATAGAGTGTTCTTAGACAAACCTAAACGGTAGAGCCTATTTGTAGGCTATTGCTCGTAGGTTTCAAACATCTAGAGCATGTTACTGTATTGAATACTATAGGCGGTTGGAACACAATGTGAGCATCTGTGTATCTAAACATAGAAAATATTCAATAAAAGTACAGTATAGTCTAATGAGACCACCATCATATATATAGTTTGTCATTGACCAAGACATCATGTGCACATGACTGTACAACATTACTATGTTTCAGGTGAGGAACGTGAGACCCACAGCACTCAAAATCTGCACAAAAACATATTTAGTAAGTGGTGGAACAGGAACTAAACTCGGTTTTGCATGATTTCAAAACTCATGCAAAGATGCAAGATAGAGTGCTTTTATTGGCTCCAGCACATGTATCTATTTCTATTGTTAAATTCTGAAAAAAAATAAGGGAATGCATTGTGCAACCCTGAGTCTGGGATACTCTACTTTCTCTGTGTCATTCCCTCCTCTCTACTTTTCCACATTTTTGTGTGAATTTGAGTCTAATATTTTGATAAGATACCATATTATGAAAATAAAATCAAGGGTGTAAGGAGAGCAGAAGAAAATTGAGTTATTAATAATTTCAGTACATGGAAAGAGAACGTCAGGAAAGTCTGAGTTGGAGAAAAAAAGGGATAGATGAGCTCAGGATAAGTGTTTTTTAAATTTGCTTTCATTTAATTCTTCATTGTGTTCCAGAAAGGACTTTAGAAGGGACTCAAAAAAGTAGTTCTTCTGTTCCCAACTCAATCGCAATCATTCTAATGAATTTTTTTTTTTTAGTTGGAGTCTCACTCTGTCACCCAGGCTAGAGGGCAGTGACACGCTCATGGCTTCTACAGCCTCGACTTGCTGAACTCAGGCGATCCTTCCCCCCAGCCTTCCAAGTAGCTGGAACAGCAGGCACATGCCACCATGCCCAGCTAATTTTTTAAAAATTTATTGTAGAAACGAGGTGTCGCCAAGTCGCCCAGGCTGGTCTCGAACCCATGAGCTCAGGCAATCCTCTCAACTTGGCCTCCCAAAATGCTGACATTATAGGCGTGAGCCACCGTGCCTAGGCCCGTTCGCATGAATTTTACCCCAGGTCACCAAGAAGAAAAGCATCCAATATTGATAAACACCCTAAAACATTTTTAAATTGAATACAGAAGAATCTAGGAAAGGAGAGAGTCAAAGAGGAATACATAGGGTCCATTCTGCTTTTAAACAGTGTGCTGTACGTTTGTAATTTTTGCATTGTTGAATAATCCCGTTTTCTTTGCCCATCTACTAGAAATTTAATCCATCAGGACACAAATTAACCTAAATTAATCTAAAATGTTAGAACTGTAAGAAACTTTAGAAGTCATCTGTGTTAGTACACATGCTCATTTATGGGACAAGAGAACTGTGCCTCAAAGTAACTTGGCCACGTACCTCAGACAAAACTAACTTGTAAAATCAAAACTTCCAAATTTATTCCTGTCATAGTACCAGTGAATCTGTATGCCTCTATAAAAGAATATAATCACAGCAGAGAATGAGGAATACGCTAGTACTTCTGGTCACTAACTGCTTATCAGAACCCTTGCCCCAGCTTCCCCCCAATTAAATTGGCATCTGTAGAGGTAGAGACAAGCATCAATATTTTTAAAAACTCCTCAGATGGCAACCATGGGGATAGGCCTAGAAGTTTCTACACAGAGCTCAACTTGGAGCCCAGACCATGGACTCCCCCCATGGGTGCTTTTGTACTGCATGAAGCTGCCTGTCCAGGAAGGAGCCACAGTAATAGGAAAAATGCATTGTGCATTACAGTAGACTTTACCTCAGTGCTCACCTACACGCTTCAGTTTATAACACTGAACTTTGTATGACTCCTCAATGAAGAGTATTGATTCTGATCTTTATTTTTCTTCTAAGACTTGCTTTAAACTTTTGTCTGAGATATAAAGTAAAGCTGGAAACTTTCAGTTTCTGTGCATGTGGGCCAAACATGTATACTAATAAAATATCGATAATTATATAGATATTCAAATGAAATCCATGTAAAGAAAACCCAGTGCTATTCAACCGTCAGCATGCTAAAGAATTGGAATAACCCATACTGTGAACCACTCTTAAATAGATCCTAGATTGTTTCTCCAATTATGCTTAGATGAATTCCTCAAGCATTATTTCCAGAATTTATTTAGTAATAATGGCAAAATGAACTTTGATTTTAAATAATATATATACACTTTATTAAATTATATTATGATATCCACCATAGGACATAAGAGATTCAAAATATTTCAAATACTATTCTTAGTTTTCTTTATCCATTCACTCAAAGCAGGGAAATTATTAAATCTCCTTAAAATTTCTTATAGGCTGTGATAAAAGCAGAAAGTTTCTTAATTAAGTCCTTAATTGAGGTAATTTTGTGTTATCCATATCAAAATAAACAAGGAGAATCCTGGCTGTTAAACTAGATCTCGTTCTAAGGAACCTCTCTGTATTCCACTCTGGACTACCCAGGTGAAAGCCAAAGAAAAGTGGAGGCATGAGAAAGTTCTTAATTCATTTTTTTTCCTGCTTAGTAAGCAATTACTTTTCTTTCATCAATGGTAGCAAGATTTTTTTAAGTGAAAAGAAATCCTACTTAGACAATTGGTAGAACAGTCCCTTGATAAACTTCCATGGGTTCCAGAAAACTGTCTTACCTTTCCTCCTAAGTCAAGCAGTGTCTACAGATTTACCTACAGAAAGGGCTGAGCCTCGAACACAAGACTTATTCCCTCTCTGAAGCTATGACCTTCCTTTCCAGAAAGCCAGAGATGTCTGTTGATACAATTACATAATAAACCCTAATGAAGATGGAAGTCTTGATTTTGCATATGTCAGCAACTTTGTTTGCTTTCTGATTTTTATTGCAAAATGAAAAATATATAGAGATCAGGGAAAGATAAATCTTATTAGTAGCCTAATAGTCCCAAGACATGTGGAGCTTTTATTATTTTGAATTTCTTACTTTTATAGTCCTTAAATTATATTGGTTTAAATAACATATCCATGACATTTTCTATTTGGTTTTTTTATAAAGTCTCATTGGACATTTTTTGCTAGTTATCCATCAAGCACAATAGAAGCAGATTTTACGTCGTCAAGGACATTAGAATTCTCTGTTTAGTCCATATGACAGTTATTTTAAAAACAAACCTTTTTCTCAAGAAAAGGATCACTGTTCCAAGCTTTTTCAGGCTGAATTGTATATGCATATGAAAGCTTTCCTTGGCTAAAGTCTGATTACACATGGATGCTGCCTGTACACCTCAGGGCTCAGGCAGCAATATACAAGTATCAAAATCGGCACTTGCATTTGTAAATGATGTTACCCTTAACGCAGGTGGGGTAAAAGAAGTCCATCTTTATAACCACCGAAGAGCTCAAGTGGCACTAAGGCAAGATTTCTAACTTGGCTGTCCTAATTCGCTTCCTTTTCTTTCAGGCATGCTTGCCAGGATTTTATCGACTGCGCTTGGAACCAGGTGGCCGCACCCCGGGACCGACCCTGGGCACTTGTGTTCCATGTCAGTGTAATGGACACAGCAGCCTGTGTGATCCCGAAACATCAATATGCCAGGTAGTCCTCTGAGCCTCTCTTGAACAAGGGCCATGTGTTCATTTCTTCTTACACAAGCTCAGAATCTACACGTAAAGACCAGCAAAAATGGAACTGTGTGTGTGTGTGTGTGTGTGTGTGTGTGTGTGTGTGCAGTAAAATATGCAGGGGAAAAATAAATCCACCATAACCTACATTTTATAAAGTAAATAGACAAATGATAACAGGGAAAACTACCGCTCATGTCAAGAAATACATATTAATGGCATATTAGAAAAACACCAGAGGACACAACTGTTAAAAATTACATGACTTTTTTTCTGGTTATAAGCAAACAAACAAAAAAGGCTTTTTCTAGAAATTTGGAAATTATAGAAAATAATTAAGAAATACAAGTCCCTCCAAATTCAACATAAAATACAAATTTTAACGTTTGAGATATTTCCTACCAATTTTAAACATGTTTATAAATAAGATTTATATAATACTACTGGTGCAGTTTTATGTCCTGTCTTTTAAACTTACCTATCATGAGGGAATCATGTTGTTAGATATTCTTTAAAATCATTACAATCTTTGATTTATGACCCATAATATATCCATTTCTCTTGGAACTGAGGCTACCCTTAATATTTTTGTGGTCTTGCTAATGCCCTGCACTCTGTACCACCACCATTTGCCTTCGACAATCAGGACTGTCATGTTTTGCCCTTTTTATTGCAGTCACCACAAGAAATTCAGGTTGCCCCTGTCACTACTTGTCCCCCAAACTCTAATCCACACATAGCTCTGGACACCTTGGCTGGGCCCATCACATCTTCTGAAACCCTTCTGCTGGGCCTTGTGGAACTCGCCATCAGCATCAGCAAAATCCCAGAAGAATCACCCTCTTTTCAGCTTTCGCTGAGAACCGGTCCTCCTGTGCACACTGCTGCCCCAGTACCCCTTTCCAACGGTAGCCCTTATTTTCTCTCACTCTTCATTCCCCTGAAACTGAAGGCGGGGCGGGTGTCCCTGCCCCTCACGCCAGTTTCTTATCATCCTCCTGTTCTCCCCCACAATGCTCAGGTTGGCGTCCCAAGCCTCCCCCCATCTGCCCACTACACCCACTTGCTAAAGTCACCGATTAACCCTCAGATCGCCCGCTTCCTCCTTGCAGAATTTTCTGCTGTCATTGCCATTCTCTCTAGCAGTTCTCCTACCATAATGATTGTTGATTTTTGTGTCTCTGCTATGAACTCTCAAATACCCTTAACTTCCAGTTCCTTGTGCTTCCAGTTCCTTGTGGTCTCCTTTTTAATTGTCTGATACTTTGACCACCATCTCTTTTCTCTCCAGTTGACCTCTTAATACTTCAACATTGGTACCCTCATCACCGATGCTCACACCTTTTCCTTTCTTTGTCTCTCTCCTGCCCTCTCTTTCTTAACCAGCTTAACATCCATGATCCTTCACTAGCCATCATTGCTTTACAATACTCATTTCCCTTGCTACTCCCTTACTTATTTTCATTCAGTAAGCTCCAACACTGCATGAATATTACTACCCTCTCCCCTCCACCTCTATGCCTTCTAAGTGGAAAGTGACTGTAGAAAAACAGACACCTGTGCTGTCTAGTCTCACCTCAAATTCACGGTCATTGTCTTCAGAGAGACCCTTTGCGCTGCTCTACGATCATGACACTTTTCTCTAGACTGTTTCCTCTCCACATTCCCAGATGAGTATCTCATACCTTATCCTTCCTCCTCAAGCCCAAACCTCTCTCCTCCCATTCCTTCCCTTTCTTACTGTTCATTGGTGGCATCACTTCTTATTTCATTGAGGTGTTAGAAGCAATGGGACAAGAGGTAACACAAGCTCCCACTGGCACATGCTCTCACCTTTGTGCATCTGTACCCAATTATTTTGACTCTTTTTCTCTTGCTTTGGATTCTTGTTTCTAAAACATATCACATCTTCCACATATGCTCTCTCCCCTTCAAGTACATTACTCTGGCCAATCTCTTCTCCCTCCTCTATTGTCACTTTTTGCTGCTTCTTCATCTAAAAAAGCAAAGAACACCCTCTCTTGATTCAATTCCCTTCTAGTTACCACTTGACTCCTCTCCTTCCATTAAGTGAAGAGTTGTCTAGACTCTGTCTACCATTTCTCTTCATTCATTCTCTCTTGAGTAGTTACTCTCCACCTAGTCTCATCCATTTCTCTTAGTCCATTTTCGCTTTTAGTAGTTAAAATCAGGCTATTGCCTCCACCAGTATACTGGAACCCAGGACTAGTGTTCAGCTGCCCATCTTCAACTTAATAGATCTCTCAGCAGTATTTGCCACTGTGAATAACCCCATTCTTCTTGAACTGTTTTGTGCAGTTTGCTTTCCAGGCCATGACATTCCGAGGCTACACAATGGCTGCTCCTTTAAAATCTTCTTTGCTATTTTCTTCTTATTACCCTGACATTTACATAGTGGTGTTTTAGAATTCAATCCTTGGAGTGATTTGCTTCTCTGACCTCACTCATTCTGTTGGCAATTGTACCCATGCACATGGCTTCTAATACGTATACTAAGATCCCATAGAATTTTTCATTATTTTTATGATTTAATTTAGATCCAGTCTTTAATCTTTCTGGAATTTATTGTGGATATGGAGGGATAATCTTTATTTAAGAATATATTACTGTAAAGAAACATTTATTGACCTTTACTCCATAATACATTATGGTATCTGAATATATACAAATGTATTTTATCCATATAAAGATATGTTTAAGGATTATCCATTTCATTCTACTTACTTGTTAGTTCCCGTCCCAATGTTCTGATTATCTTCATTTTATAGGAAGTTATGATATCTGGTAAAGCAAGACTCTTTGTTACCCTTCTTTTTCTAATTTTTCCAACTGGATGCTCTTATATATTCTTCCAACTGATGTTGATGTTTTTATTCAGTATTACATCCCTTTCTCCCCCCAAAAAAGTTACTAGAGTTTTGATTGGAATCGAATTAAACTTATTTGTAAAGAATTGTCTTAACTACTATTCAGTTATTTTATCTCAACTCAGGAATGCGATACTCTTCTCTAATCAAACATTTTATGTCCTACAGTAAACAGTCTTTACACTATCTCTATAGAGCATGCATTTCTCATATTAAAATTATTTCTAAGTGTCTTACATTTTCATTTCAATGATAAACATTACAAGTTTTATTTCAACATAGTAACTGTACTAACCAGTCATTATCAATAAATGTTAACAGAATAGGAATACAGAACCTGTATTTGGTATTCAGTCACTGTTATCTTAGTTCTAGAAGTTTTTCAATTGATTCAGTTATTTTTATGTTTATAATAATGCTATTTGAAAATAATTATAATTGTATTTTTACTTGCCAGAAACTATAGCTAGTATAATAGTTTCATATTTTTGCATTGAGTAAGTCTTCCAAAAGAGGTTGAATAGAAGAGTTATCAGCTTCCTAGTTTACTCTTGATTATAATATGAATGCCTCAAGTTTTTTACCATACACTATGATACCGGTGGTTAGTGTAAAACAAAAAAAAAAAATTCTTGTCATGTTAGGTAAACTTCAATCTATTCCTAGATTCTTAAAGATATATATCCTTCTTTCAATCAGGTTAAGATATTTAAATTTGTCACATGATTATTTGTGGTGAGTGGAGTGGGGATACCAGTACATTTCAGAGGTAGTCATATATAGTTTCTTCATCTTAAACAGAATAAACGATATTATTGACTAAATTAATAACTAATGCTAACCATCTTTGAATTCCTAAAATAATTACTCTTTGGTTTGATATAGTATTTTTTTCATCATCTACTTGCCTATAAAATTCAGTAGGCAATTGGGAGGGGGGAAATTAATTTATACATTCTTAAGTAATAACAAATGCATTTTTCCTTGTTATGCAATCTTCACTGGCATTTTTAAGCAGGGTTATGTGTGTTTTATATAATTAATTTAGAAACATTTATAAAGGATACAGTTTAATTTCATTGTTATTAGGATAAAAGGTATTGTCTTAAGTCCTCTTTTGACCAATTGGCTATTATAGCTATTTTTGTTTGTTTCTTTCTTTCTTTTATTTTATTTTAATTTTAAAGATTTGGGGTACAATTCAGGGTTAGGTATATAAATGGTCATTGTACAGGTAAAGTTTGGGCCTCACTTTGGTTCCCACTTTGCCTGGTTTGAGATCAGGTACCCTTACTGATGAGGTGTGCCTCCCCTCCATCAACTGGCAGTTTCCCACTACTGCCAATCCCCTACTTATACAGTATTATGATAATTGTTCAGGGTCCACTTATGGGTGAGAACATGTAGCACCCGGTTATTTTTTTCTGTGATATATCACTCAGTATTATAAACTCTAAGTCCATCCAAGTTTCTATGATGTTCATAATTTTGTCCTTCTTTATGGCTGCATAATATTCCATCATGTATGTGTACATTTTTTTCATCCAGTCCTCTTTTGCTGGGCAGCACAATTGGTTCCATGTTTTTGCTAATGTGAATAATGCTGCAATAAACATACATGTGCAGGTATCATTTTCATAGAGTGATTTGAGTTCCTCTGGGTACATTCCCAGAAGGGGGATTGTGGGGTCATGAGGAAGGCTGATTTTTAGATCTTTTAGGAATCGTCAAATTGTTTTTCATAGAGGCTGTACTAGTTTACACTCCCACCAACAGTGCAGAAATGTTCCCTTTGCCCCACATCCTCTCCAGCATCTATTTTGGGGGGGGGTGGTTATTGATAATGGCCATCCTGATTGGAGTTAAGTGGTATCTCAGTGTGCTTTTAATTTGCATTTCTTTGATAATTTGTGAGGCTGAGCATTTTTTCGTGTATCTGTTGGCTGCTTGTATGTCTTCTTTGGAGAAGTGTGTATTCATATATTTTGGCCACTTTTTAATAGAGCTGTTTGTTTTTCTTTTTGGCACATTTGAGTTCCTTATATATCCTGAATGTTAGGCCTTTATCACATAAACAGTTGGCAAA